CAATTTCCTTAACTTAAAAATGAATATATGTGATAAAAAGAAAATATTTCAAGATCTTTCTCTTATATATTCAAACAATTGTCAACAAATTATTTGTGACTTTTTGTCCTGTGACTTTTTGTCCTATCAAATTTGTGACTTTATGTCCTGTGACTTTTTGTCCTGTGACTTTCTGTCCGTTTACATAGAGGAAATTAGTCTGTAATTTTTATGACCACACATATAGGTTATCCAGTATAAATAAGTACATCTGAGCCGTTGCCTACAAGTCTAGTGTCGGAACAAACTTTTGGTTTTACTCCAGTATATATATATAGTCCTTTATTTCTAGTTTTTATGAACTCGTTCAATTATAACATAACTGTGTTTTAAAGTTATTATTCAAAGTCTCTTTTAAATAAAACAACTTTTTATACTATTCAAAATTGAGAATGGAAATGGGGAATGCATGTGTCAAAGTGACATCAACCCGACCACAGAGCAGAAAACAGCTGAAGGCCACCAATGGGTCTTCAACACAGCGAGAAAATCCCGCACCCGGAGGCGTGCTTCAGCTGGCCCCTAAACAGACACCAAGTGATGGATACAATTGTGGCTTATATTGTTTAATTAATTTTTTAGAGCAAAAGATTAATTGATTGTTGGTTGATTAACGTCCAGTGGCAAACATTTCATGCATATTCAGGACGACAAAACTTTTCAGAAAAAGATTATGAAGTACTAGGTATAACAAATGTTAAAATTTTCTCATCATTGACCTTTCAATACAATTTTGTTTATGATTTGATCTTTCGTTGTCTTTCTATGGTTATGAAGTCATAAAGTATGTTCTATATATTCTAAGTTAGCATATCTGTACAGTTTGTCATTTTGACTTTTTTTTTATTTTGCCATGGCGTTGTCAGTTTGTCTTTGAATAAAAAGTTTGAATATCACTTTGGAAATTTAATTCCGCCTTTTTACAAAAATCATGAGATTCAAATTTGATAAGATGAAAGATTATATTTTAGACTAATACGTATGCACATCTGTACAATTTAATGAGATTCTTGATCGGGGGTAGACAATTCCTCTATCTAAACTTTGAAAACCAATATGTCTGCTGTAAAATTCACCTACTTCTATTATATAAACTTGAAAACTGTCCTAACAGAACAAGTATCGATTTGCATATTTGTAAAATTTAATGTCAGTGGTACACACAGTGGCGGATGGGGGGGGGGGGGGGGGCGGATTTTGGACCCCCTCTTGTTAATAAGGACATACGGTTGGATCCCCTCCCTTTATCCTTGGGTGGGAACCCCCATTTAAAAAGACTGGATCCGCCACGTGCACTGTACACAGATTTAGTTCGCATTGTTTTCCGGGCAGAATAGACCACCACTGTTACTAATTTTTATAGTTGTAAATATTTACGCTAAATTTTGTTAATAAAGATAGGAACAGTTACAATTGTGTGGTCATAGATTTCGTAAATTTGTTTTCTGAATCCATATAGCAAGTGGCATGACATCATAATGGTGAATCGGGGAAATCACAGAAAGCTTATGGAAATGTTAGATTTTTTTTGATATATGACAATAGCGCAAAAAGTATCAAATATGTTTTGATAGAGAAAAAAAAAATGACTGTAGCTGTAATAACTATATTTTTATTTGTTTTTAATTGTGTCGCTCTTTGATGACCATTTATGAAACCTGCATTTTCGTCTTTCATTCTTACGTACGTCTAGAAATTTACAGAACTCAAATTATATATCTGAATAAAAGGAGTTGTCGGTTTTATTTACGTCAATAATATAGCAAACAAACCAAAAACAAAAACAAAAACCAAGCCACATCCAGAGAGCAAAGTGGATTTTTCGGCTTGCAGTACAAACTAAGTATAAGTATAAAGAACAGTTATATTATAACTATACCACGTCAAAAGTTCTCTCGTTCATTTCATTCCATAGTAGAGTGAAATGACTAACTTTCATTTGACCTTTAAAGAGGCAGAATTAGTTGACACAAATGTTATGCCTTTTTGCATGGCTAATTGTATATATTTATGTTGAACATGTTAAATTCAAGGCGATCTTGTAGCGAACGCACAACCCTATACTGTGTTTGGTTTTTCTACGATATCTAGTTAAGAAAAAGCTTTATTATCGGAGGGGTGAAACGAGGGAGAAAATAATATGTATTAGATACACATTAAGGGTGTTAGCCCGAATGAGTGCGTATTACTTACACCAAGATAAATTGAATATTGTCAATGCAGAATGACAAATTCAATAATTTAGGACAGGGACTTTCAATACTAACGGATTCCCTGTTAAGGAGGAGATCTTTTAACAATTTGACAATATGCTATTGAAATGCATGATAAATGCAGGGTATCAAATGTATTTATCGACATCTTTGTGTTAAAAAAGATACAATTTTGCTAGATAAATAGAAAACAATAACACATTTCCTTGCATAATCTTATCTAAAATTATTGAAAATTATCATAATTTATGGGTATTGTTTTAACATGATACACCAAAGCCGAATTTTGTATGTTTGCATTACACACTTGCACTGTTTGGATTAACGTATCAATTAGAAGGTAGGTTAGAAAATCACGAAAAAAGAATTAAAGGACAAAACGCCATTATATGGTTTTCCGGATAATGTTTTTTTTTTGGCAAATATTAAAAAAAAAATCTTAAACTTTTACATATACATAACATTTTAGGTAAACACCTAGAGTTACGTATATACCAGCATACATTGTTGATAGGAAAAATTGCTATCAAAGATACTTCAGAAATGCCTAGCTCCATGCCTAAGAAATATACATCTTTTTTATTGTTCACATTTATTTAACCTCCATTCAACAATGGGAAGGAACATTTGCCTCAGCTGTGAAATGAATTGATTTAAAACGACTTTTAACATATTTACTTCTGTCTTGTCAATATCTTAGCATAGAATATGATCAGAATATGGTCTGTGTATAAAACAAGTATACCGCTGTAATAAAGGCACTAGACAATTTATACATGTAAATATATGCTACTTCCAACAGAATTTTGTTTTGTTTTTAGTTTTTAATTATTTTTTTGTCATTATCGTTTATTCTTTAACCACTAAATTTGCGGTTTTGTGATATGTTCGTGCAGTTTTAAGAATGTCGTCAAAAGTGTTCAGAAAGAAGCTATTATAAAATGTGTCAGAACCTTAAATTACACATACATGAACGGAGCTATGATACCATGACAGGTGTACATATGATGTAATTGTGAAATAGCCATTGTAATTGCCAAGTTTTTGATAGTTTAAGGATCATTTTTGATTAGTGGCACGTGCCATCGAATTCAATCTTTATTGACAGAAAATATTAAATAACGAATACATTTATTACTATTATAGGAAGAAAAAGACGAAGAAGAATTATTTGCTATAGTGCAACTTGAATAAACAAATAAATACATAATTATTTTATATTAAATAAAATTGTTATTAAAATGAAAGAAAGGATTAACGCATTTACAAGGATATATACTCGATGCTGAACTTAAATTAGGTTGTATTGTGTTAACGAAAACTTCTATGAGGATCTGGAGGGGGTCCTTTATTTCTTTATTCTTTAATTTTTTATGCCGATTTTCTCTATTCTTTAAACTTTTTGTCTATTATTATCAATTCTTTATATTCAAGCACCTTATTATTCTCTATTCTTTATTTTTTTTTATTCATTTTCTCTATTCTTTATATTTATTGCCACTCATTCTCTATTCTGTAACCTCCTCCCCGCCCCCTCCCATCAACATCTTCTTTTTTCCGATGGTATGTTATTTATAGTTTTATTGTCTCGTCACGGTCTAAGTGCAGTTTTCAGAATATTAACTGCACTCGGAGACATGGTTCCCTGATGCGGCCTTGGTGACTACGCATCACTACGAAAAAAAAGCAAAAAAAAAAAAAAGAGACGGTTGTCCAAATATAAAAAGAATAGCACGCACGGGGAATGATTACTAAATGCCACGAAGTAATTATTAAGTTTTAGAGGAAAGTATCGAAAGATAGCGAAATTAACGATATAAATTATCTGACATAAAACATATTTGTATTTACGTTGATCGTTCCCGATGAAGTTAAATCCAGAAACGTGCTTCAGAAGCATGAAATTTATAAGGTGTTTTCACTCTTTTGATAATGTTATGTTTAAAATTTGCAATTACTTCTTTTCAAAGAATAAGTAGATAAATACATAAATAAACATCAGAAAATAAAAAATAAAATAAAATCATAAACAGTTATAGGCGAATAAGTTATTTCCTCAACAAAACAAAATCACTAATCTCTTAAAAAAAGACCAACAGAAATAAAAAGTCAACCAATGATTTTATGTTTAATTATTAAAAATATACGTTTTTCATTCTAGCATTTATATTGTAATTTTTTTATAATTAAAATGTATCATCCACATGAAGGGGCGTAACTCCTAATATCATTCTGACACACTAAACGGATCTTAACCCGATCTGAAAATTTTGAACATTACTTTTTATGTTTGGTCTGAATTCGTCTAAAACCGTCTGAACATATCTTGTTTAACAGCTAGAGCCTTCTGTCTTGTTTATCTTGACATGAATGAACGGACTGAACACGACATATCTGAACAGCGTCTGAGTGTCTTAAAAAGTCTTAACGTTTTTCCCTAGCGGTAAATTCAGTTGATTCAGACTTGATCAGACCAAAATGACCGTTTCAGACTGAAATCTTGCTACTAGTGATTTATTTGTTATCATTATATTTTTATTGCTACTATTATCATTATTGATAATATTATTTTTGATTCATAATTATTATATTATTAGTACTATTATTATTATATTATTATTATTATTATAATCACTATTATTATTATTATTATTATTATTATTATTATTATTATTATTATTTTTATAATTATTATTATTATTCGTTTTGTCATCAAAATCTCTCACTTTTGTATGTTTTGTGTTGAAGGAATAACTGTGTTTTACTAAAGCGACCTATAAAGAAGACACGATGACGAAACTGTTGTTGATTGTCCTAATACTGTTCATAACTACAGGTAATATTTCTGGACAATCTCCTTGATTAACATATTCGTTTTTATGTATATCAACATCAAAACACTCTTACAACAACACTATGTTGCACGTGATATCTTTTAAAAGAGGGACGACAAATACAAGAGGGACAGTCAAACTCATATATCGAAAACAACGCCATGGCCAAAAATAAAAAGACAAACAGACAAATAATAGTACAGATGACACAACATAGAAAAGCAAAGACTAAGCATCACGAACCCCGCCAAAAACTGGGGGTGATCTCAGGTGCTCCGGAAGGGTAAGCGGATCCTGCTCCACATGTGGCACCCGTCGTGTGTTAAAGTATGCGCTCGCTATTTGACGGTGACGAAAAAACAAAACACATATCGTACAGTTCTTGTCCAAACAAATCATTATTTAATCAAAAACAGAAGAAATATGTAAAGCATGTAAAGGACAGACGGATGGACCATGTTAGTGCAATCTCCTCAACAAATCCGTTGAATAAATTTTATGTTTTATCAGATTTTGTTTTATAAATATCACTTGTGCTTCTAATAGGATAGCTTTTGTGAAAGTATAAACATGAACAACATATCCTTAAAACATATTTTGCAATTAAACCGAGTGCAGAATGCAGGCAAATTACAAGAATAGATGGACAAAGACACATAAGGTTGTCGTGATTCGGGTGAAATTCAAACACTCGACTATGTGAACCAATGAACGACTGGAAAACAACAGTCATATTCCTGACTTGGAACCTTCATTTAACTAGCAAAATTGTTGGTTAAACCTTGTTTTAAAACTGGTTAAAATTTCCGTCTTGTATGACAGATTCATACTTCCACAATAAATCTCTATATTTGAAAACAAAATTAAAATTTTAACCAAGCAATGATATTTCTGTAACTTTGCTATTCTACCTTAATGATAACGTATGAATACAGTGATATTATACACCATCTAAAATGGCCATGACAGGTACAACTTTTCGGATTGTTTAGATGAGATAAATTGTCATATTAACCTTACCTACTAAATACATTTTCGACAATGCAACCAGCCAAGATGGAGTTTTGGCAAAATTTATGGTGATAATCACCATTTCTCCGAATGCATCATCTAGTGGAACATTTGTCATTGTGGACCGATATGATTCTCCGAATTTATCTAGTAAAAATAGAAAAACATATATTAATTTCAGTGTTTGATGAGTTTTTTGTATTCCCAAAGGCTACAAATATAGCTCAAAGGGAAATGCTCTGAAATAAAAACTAAATGTGTAATTTTTAAGAAAATTTTTTATTGTCGCATTGTTTTCGTTTTAGATATTGTGTATTCTCAAAATAGCTGTACTTGTCCTGCGGTTTGGGATCCAGTTTGCTCCACAACTAATGAGACTCATGGTAATGAATGTAGCCTACTTTGCGCGTAAGTGTTTTTTACAAAACCCGAAAATGCTCATTCTATACCTTTATTATCAAACATTTATTAAAACCCGCGGTTAGAAGTGATGTACTTTATAATACATGCTGGGGATTATTGAATGTTGAATACAGAAACGGGTCTTCTCTGCACAAGTTATTTGAACATTTGTGTCTTGCTGATCATATTTTTCTTTCAATTCTGAAGTAATATACACAAATATATATATCTAGACAGCAATTTTGATTGAATGTTGGATCGATCTAGTTAAGATCATAGAAATCTGGTTGTCAGCAAAATACCCCCTTGCCATCATATTCATCTGGTGCAGCAAAATTGGTACTGGTTATGTTATTACTACCACTGGGTCGATGCCTCTGCTGGTGGACTGATAGTCCCCGAGGGTATTACAAGCCCCAGTAGCCAGTACAACGGTACTGGCATGAAAATACGGATTTTGTGTTATTAAAATTTGCTGTTACAAAATTTTTAAAGTTATTCTTAATTAAGAAATATATCTCCCTCATGTAAAGCTCTGATTCCTTGCCCGGCTTTTGGCTATATTTTTTGTCCTTTATGGTTTATAGCTCTTCATCCTTTTGATAAGCTTTGGATTTTCAAATATTTTGGCCTCGAGCATCACTAAAGAGACACTGATTGTCGAAATGCACATCTGGTGCAGCAAAATTGGTACCGTTTATGTTATTACTACCAATGGGTCGATGCCTCTGCTAGTGGACTGATAGTAGCCGACGGTATCACAAGCCCCAGTAGCTAGTACTACGGTACTAGCATGTTGTGTAAAATAGATAAACGCGTTGTGTATAGATCGTGTTTATTCAACGTCTAGCCATTGCCATATAAGTGACGTCATAAATACATAAGTGTCAGGTTGCAACGTTAACATATATGAAATTGCGCTAAATTTCCGACATTCTCGGTGCCGGCAAAAGTTAAAATATAAAAAATATCAATTACTTTAAATGCCAATCGAATAGATATTACTGAAAATTAAATAATTAATTGTTTATCTAAAACAAATTAAAATAATTCACTTATTAACGACTTTCTTTCTTAAAGAGGTCTATGTTAATACACATAGTTGTCCGCAAGTAGATCACTTTTTGGTAGTCCATTTATTGATGTTCTCTCGAGCTCGCACAGATGCCTCTCGTTTTAATAGAATTTTTGTAGATCTATCTGTTGAAGTATCATCATGTTAGTTCTTTAAGTTGTTAATGTTTGTTCGGATTTCGAGCGGGTACAGTTTTACTAAAGGGCGTCCTGCACAAGTTCGTATTATAGCTGTTCATGTAAAACCATCGTTTCTGGTGATCAATTCATCAACTACAGCAATGTTCCATCGGTTTTTCAGTAATTTATCATCTTAGACTTGCACCACATCTCCAACTCGAATAATTTGTAAATTGTTTTCTGTTTGGCGATGAAATTCTCTCAGTGTCGTTTTATACACGGATTTCCACCGGTTCCAAAAATTCTCTATTAAACTCAATTGTTTATTCAAATGTTTATACAGTTCATGTTTCCACTATTTACAGCAATGAATTCAACTATCTGTTGTGGATATGGTGTTTAAGTTATTCTTCTTCCGTACAGTAAGTGTGACGGAGTTAACGACTCCTCGTCCTCAATATCCGGTGATACGTAGGTCAATGGTCTATCATTAATGATGGCTTCTATTTCTGTCACAATTGTTCGAAAGGTATCTATGGTAACGTAAGATCTACCTAATGTTTTCCTCAAATAAGTTTTTGTTTGTAATTCCGATGAAATGTTTCCACCATCAACCATACCATGGCGCTTTTTTCGGTATAAATCTCCAATTTTGTTCCATGTGTTGACAATGTATTGTTTTGCGTTTGTGATTGGGTTAATGTCTTCAATGTTTTCAAGGCGGCTAAATATGTCGAACTGTTATCCTAAATCATAGTGTGTGGTCTAGATTTACGACTAGCGAATCTCCTAAAGGCTTGTAAAAATTATTTTTCTGAAAGGTCCGGTACAACTTCCAGGTGTACGGCTCTCGTTGAAGCACAAGTAAATAGACATATAAAAACCTTGTTTTAGTATCATGTTTATCTCTAACGTACAGCGCTCCAGTAGTGTCAACGCTAGTAGTTGTAAAAGGCGCCGCTTCCAGTAATCGAACTTTCGGGAGTGGCGGCGGATCAGGAGCTGTATATGGTTTACTGTTGATATTCGACAAATTACGCAATCTCGCAAAATTCCTCTTACGTATTGAAGAATTCGGAGTATCCAGTAAGTTTGTCGTATCTCGGTCACTGTTGATAATACTACTGCCTGTTTCGTGTACTTGTGTATATCAAGGACAATTAATTTCGTAAAATGATGATTTCTTGGTAATAAATAAGGAAATTTTGTATTTTCACATACAGGTGCGTTATGAATTCTCCCACAACAGCAAATTGCGTATTTGGTATTTAGGTATAATCTAAGTTGTCTTACTAAAACAATGGGTTAAATTTAGTATCCTTTAATTTCAAGTTTAAAACTTCGACCTTAAATGAAGTTCGTTGGCAATTTAGTATCCAATACTCTATTGCATCCTGCAATTCCTCTCTTGAAAAGTATTTCGCCTTATTTCTCTGTAATATTGTCGAACGGCAATTTCGTATAAATCAAAATACATAAGCTGTTATTCGTAGTAATTTTGTAAATGTACTATATCTGGTCATTTGCATAATCTGGTGTATTCCTTATTGATAATCTATTCATTTTCCGTTGTACTTGATTGTTCTAAATCTGTGCTCGTAAGTAACACTGTTGTGTCATTTGGCTTCCACGACGGCCATTTTGGTTTATCGGTGATCCATTCGGGTCTGTTGAACCATAGTGCGTTCTTTTCAAACTGTGACACGCTGAGTCCTCTAGTAAGAAAGTCAGCTTGATTATCTTTCGTTTGGCAATATCTCCATTCTTGTGTATTGGTCAATTTACGTATTTCCGTAACTCCATTTCCTATGAATCTTTTCAATTGTTTTGAAGTTAATAACCACTGTAGTACTATCTGACTGTTTGACCAAAATGATATGTCTTCTATCAAATTTTGTAAAGCTGATGTAACATGATCGGCTAGTCGTGCTCCAATCAATGCGCCCATTAATTCCAGCTGTGGTATTGACAGTTGTTTGAGCGGTGCTACTCTATTTTTTGCAATAACTAAAGCTGACTCATGATAGTTACATATGTATACAATTGCTCCGTATGCAGTTGTACTAGCGTCTACAAAAACGTGAAGTTGGTTTTTCTGATTTGGCAAATTGGTAAAGTACGGTCTATTCAATTCTGTATAGGTCGCTTTCTCCAAATCCTTGGCTAAATGTGTTCATGTTGTCTGTATTGCTAATGGTAGTGGTTCATCCCATCTGTATTTCTGTTCCCACAATTTCTTCAAAATATTTGATCGTACGGATACAGGGCTAAGTAATCCTAGCGGATCGTAAATACGTGACGACTGTTTAAGAATTTCACGTTTTGTAATATTTGGAAGTTCAATATCAAATTTAAATAAGTCGACTTTTTGAAAGGTGATTGTATCTTTATCTGTATCCCATTCCAGTCCAAGTATTTTGACTAAAGTTTCTTTTTCAAATAAGTTATTTTGTTTGGCAAAATCTATAAGTTTTGAGCAATTTGAACTCCGAGAACGAAGGTTAATTCCAGCCTCCGACATCAATGATCGGGCTTGTACAAAATCATTTACGGCGTCATCTTCATTTTCCAAACTCGACAAAATATTGTCTACGTAAAGTTCATTCTTCATTAATGCTGATATATCTGTGTTGCATGCATGCAAGTGTTTAAGCAGAGTTGCGTTTAGGATGAAAGATGAATGTGTTGGACCAAACAAAATGAATTTGAATCGATATGTTGTAAAAGTACTGCTGGGATTAGATTTGTCGGTCAACCAAAAAAAGCGGGTAAAATTTCGATCTTTCTCATCTAATCTAATATGTAGGAACGCCTTTTTCAATATCCGTGCTTATTGCGTTCTTTTTGGTTCTAATTCTCATTAATATTTTTGTCAAGTCATTCAAGTCGGGTGGAGTTGACATTAAGCAGCCATATACACTTGCGTGATCTGAAGACTTTTTACAGTTACAGTCGTAAACTATACGAATTGGTGTTGAATCCTTTTTATGGCATGATGTGGTATATAGTGAATGCTTTGCCATTGTCGTTTTTCTCGTCTACCTTCTCTTTGAACCCTCTCTTCATTTGGTCTTCAATAATTTCTGAATATTTCTCAATAAATGTGGTTCACGACTTAGTCTTCTAATTGTGTTTTCAGTCCTTGCTTAAGCGATCATGATGTTTGAAGGTAAATCCGGATTATCCAGTTTCCATGGCAACTTTGAATAACGTTCGTTTTCAAATTTGATACAGTCTTGTTGATAAGTCTTTACAAAACTATCCTCATCGTCCTGTTGTGGTGAACGTATTCCTAGCGATTCTAGATTTTAGAACTTATCGATGTCGCTTTCCTCTGTATGGTGTGAAATAACATTTAAAAGTACGGATGAAGTATACGAGTTCTTTCCGGTTCTTGTTGCGGATCCAGATAGCAAGTAACCAATCTGTGATGCGACGGCTGTAGGTCCATTGCCTCTGATCAGGTGATCTTGAATATCCAAATAATAATTGGCTCCTATAAGAGTGATATTTCAAAGCTACCATCGTTATTTACAGGATGTGCGATTTTCTAATCTTTCAAGTATGACAAATTGCGTGTTACTTATTTCATCTGGTGTTGAAGTGGGACTGCAATATCTGGAACAATCAATGCATTAATGTTTACAATTTCACCTTTGTCAGTTTGTAGTTGAACGGCTGTATCCAAATGGCGTATATTCTTCTCCTTGTCTCCAAAAGCTGACAGTTCAATTGTGTCTTTTCAGCTTGGTCTCATTTATAATTTTTTAGCTATGTTCTGGGTGATAAATGAACGTTAGGCAACTTCGTCGAATAAAATATTAGCTTCTGTAGTATGTTTCTCGTATGAAACTGGTCGGCAAATTGTCCCGCTTCAAGAATTTTCACTTCTTTTGTAATGGCTTTTCTTAAGTTGCTAAGGTTATATGATCGCTATCATATTCACGGGCTATACTTTTCCTTACTTCTACTGGCAATTTACTTATAAAAATAGGTACTAGTACCGCGCCATACATTTCTTGTGTTTGACCCAAACATTCAAGACCTCTAACGTATGATTCTAGGTAGTCTCCATAACTTCGTAAACTGTTTTAATCATTTGACGGCGAGGGAAGATCCATTCAAGCTTTCATGTAACCGTTTATAACTTGTTGTGGGTGTCCAAATCTCTTTAAGCAAACATACAGCTGTCTCATAATTGACGTGTGGAAGCGCAAATCGTGCTATGGTTTGGGCGGCGATTCCCTAAAACTGGGTTTGAGATAACTGAGTTTTTGTATAGGTGTTAGGCTACTATTAAAATGTATTGTAGATTCGTATAAGTCCCAAAATGTGCTTCACTGTAAAACATTCCCGTCAAAATGTGGCAAATCTAATTTAGGTAATATATGGTTATTACTAAATATACTTGGTGGTTGGGCTGGTGGTGGTATAAGCGAACTATATGATTGTAAATTAGTAAGGAATACTTGTACTAGTGATTCGCGAGTAAACCGCTGATGTGTTTGAATAACAATTCTTTGATCTAGGTATATAGCGTTTATTGTTGACTGTACTTGTAAATCTGAAGTTTCGTTTGATTTGATTGATTGTGAGTTTTCGTAATTGCTTAAGTTTACTGTCTAAATTAAACATATACTCATCCGAGTCTTAATTTCTTGTTCAATGTGATCCTCGTGTAGGACTTCTAACATCTTCACGTTCAAATCCTGTAGAATCTTCTTTTTCTGGGTTACGGCATCCTTTATGGCTTTGAATTCCTCCATTTCAACATTGTTCAGATTCTCCTTTAGCTCCTCAAATTTGGTCCATAGCTTCGTCACTGCTGTCTTGTTGCCGGCACGTATTGCTTTTAACTTTGTTTCCATTGTTGAACCAATTTCCCGTCAGTCACGGCACCATAAAATGTTGTGTAAAGTAGATAAATGCGTTGTGTATAGATCGTGTATATTTAACGTCTAGCCATTGCTATATAAGTAACGTTATAAATACATGAGTGTCAGGTAGCAACTTTAACATATATGAAATCGCGCTAATATCCCGACGTGGCATGCAAATACCTTATTTGTGATAATAAAATTTGCTGTTAAAAAATTCTGGAAGTTTTTTTAATTAAGGAATATATCTCCCTCATGCAAAGCTCTGATTTCTTGCCCGGCTTTTGGCTATACTTTTTTTGTCCTTTTTGGTTTATAGCTCTTCATCATTTTTATAAGCTTTGGATTTTAAAATATTTTGGCTTCAAGCATCACTGAAGAGACATTGATTGTCGAAATGCGCATCTGGTGCAGCACAATTGGTACCGTTTATGTTATTGTTATATAATCTTATAAGCTGAGTCATTGTAATAACAGAATATTACATGCTGCTGATTAGGAACATGCCTATTAATAAATATTGACTGTCAAAGAACGCGGTTGTTCATGTGATTCCCTTAGCTTTTGTGTTTGTGTTACTTTGATTTGTATCTTCCTTCATTGCATTTATGAGATTTGAACATTGTATGGTAAATTAATGTTGCAAAATATTAAAAAAAAGGGATTATGAACGCTAAATACAATGCAAGTAATTTCATTGCAAATGTTACTCCATGATAAAATTTATTGTAACCTTAATTAAGAATAAATACCCCTCACCCCACCACAACAATAACAAATATTACCACTCAGATAAGTTCATCCCTTAGCCCTCCTTCCATCATACTTCCAAACAAATTATAAAAAAATTACTTTACCTTTAAAACAATACCGACAGATTAAATTCGACATTGATTTAAGCATTGCATGGTAAACAGAAAACCTAGAACCATGGAGTGCAGTTTGTTCGCCAAAAATAAATGTTTTGATCTTAAATCGTTCAGTTAACCGTGAGTTCACTTGCCCTAATTTTTGAAAATATCACATATCCAATAGTAAATAGATTTGGATTGTTTAATTCATATATATTTTGCGGTACAAAATGGAATCCAGTAGGATCAAAAATCCTCCTAGTAAAAGTTGGAGTTCCAATATCTACAAGTAGAAATTGGACTTATGATTTAAACTTGTTAGAATCCAGTACAAATTGGAATTCCAATATCTACTGCTTGAAATTCGGATATCCAGTTTTGTACAAGGAGGATACTAGATGAAAACAAAAACAAGAAACAATAAAGATATATTTTGTTTTTCTTTGTAATGAAATAAACTAATGTAATCAAACTTTTCTGAATTAAATTGAACAATTTGAGATTGGGCCAATTCCCTATGAATTTGTCTGCCAGCCGAGTTTTTCTAAAAGTCCTTCAGTCTTTACCAAAACATACGATCATATGAATACTTCAAGATTTTAAACAACGCTGGTTTAGCTAGCAATAAAACCAGTTTTAATCCACCATTTCTTACATAAGGAAATGCCTGTACCAAGTCAGGAATATGACAGTTGTTTTCCATTCGTTTGATGTGTTTGAGCTTTTGATTATGCCATTTGATAAGGGACTCTCAATTTTAAATTTTCCTCGGAGTTTTGTTAATGATATCCTTCAATACAAAATTTAACAAAACCATGTAACCTTCATAATTTAAGCAAAATTTGTTTCCCTCAACCCTCTTCATGTTGTTAAGCAAACACATAATCAAAACAATTGCTGTTCTCATTTTCTCACTATTATTACAATTTAACGTAAAATACATGATCGAAGTTGTTCGAGAAAGGATTTGTCACAGATCGTAATTAAAAGGCAAATATGTATGTATTAAAAATCAACAGCTTTGTTTTAAAAACATTTTAAATGACCGTTAGGCAGGTAACGATTACCTGTATAAAACCCGGTAAATGGCCGACCTCGAACAATTGAAATATTATAATTTTTATTTCAGTAATCAAGTTTTAGCTTGCCGTCGTGAATGTCCATGTGTGACAGTTTCTGTGAATGCAACAGCAACACCAGTAAGTTTTAATTAGTGAAAGATATGTTTAAATAATAGATATAAGAAACCAAACCAATTGTGTTGAATATGTAACATAATTTCTTTATTACTGATGATTATAATAGAACACAAACGAAAAACAACGAACGCACGGAAAGAAAAGTTCACGGAACAGTGCAACACTTTAACAAATTGTTTTGTCTAATGTGAACTAATTGTTGAATAAGTAACCTAAGTTCTTAATTACAGAGGATTATAATAGAAGACAAATGAAAAACAACGAACCCACGGAAGGAATTCCGAACAGCGCACACTTAAACCTATTGCTTTGTCCAATATGAACTTTACTCAAAACCGGAAGTGATATAAATCTACTCTAGTTCATTTTTAAAGGGAAAATGTATGATAAGCCATCTTTTCCACAATTTAAAATATAATAATCACGCAGTTGTAAAATTTATTAATCGTAGTATTTTCTAGATTCAAGATATCATTTAATCTGTCAGATTTACCTAATGACGTATATTTTTCTTTTGTAAAAGTACATCAAAATAAAACACACCTGAAACACAACGAACGCACAGAGAGAAACATTCTCCGAACAGCGCACACTTAAACCTATTGCTTTGTCCAATATGAACTTTAACCAAAACCGGAAGCGATAAAACTACGTAGTTAAGGAAATCTGACAGATTAAACCGTTTGACAGAAATTTTGAAACTATCTCAGAATCTTGTAAAAAAAACTCACATGATGTACTTTTACAAAAGGAAAATATACGTAATTTGAAGTAATTGATCATATTTGCAAAAATCGAAATTAAAACTGAAAAACTTGGAAGATATCGTCTAATTTCAAGATCTTGTCATTAATATTTTCCTACCGAAAACGAAAAATTAACACAATATATCTCAAACAAAAATGTCGATGTTCTTATTTTTAAAGAAGGTTGCTGCTTATCAAACCGCCACTTTTTTTAAGCAGGTGTCATTTAGTGATTGCGGTTTTCGTTCGTCCTTCCGTTACCCTTTTTTGTCCGCTACTGTTTTGAACCGTTTGAACTAAATTTTAAAACTATCTCAGAATCTTACGCACATGATGTATTTTAACACTATGTATGCAACTTCATAATTCTAATTATCATTTGGGTTTATTTTGCAATGAAAAAGACTGTACAAGTGTACATGGCATATTTTCAAAAGGCAATTATACATACGTAGTCTATTTTTTTTGTATGGAGACAAACAGCAAGTATGTATTCAGTTGGCCTGATAAGCATTCAATAAAAAGTAAAATCACAAAAATACTGAACTCCGAGGAAAATGCAAAAAGGAAAGTCCCTTATCAAATGGCAAAATCAAAACCTCAAACACATCAAACGAACTGTCATATTCCTGACTTGGTACAGGCATTTTCTTATGTCGAAAATGGTGGATTGAACCTGGTTTTAAAGCTAGCTAAACCTCTTACTTGTATGACAGTCGCATCAAATTCCATTATATTGACAACGATGTGTGAACAAAACAAACAGACACAATAGGTACAAATGTCACAAAGAGGGGTACATAGTCTAATTCGGTATGTCACATTCGTGAAAAGGGAACGGGATTGTAGTTAAGGAACATTTCCGATATCATCTGTGAAACGGATATTCCATAACTGTCAACCAACTCGTGATGGTGTCAATAAAATTTACAAAGTGATGATTTTAACTCCACCATTTGGAACTCTTGGTTTAAAAATGAAAATTCATAATTGGGAAGCTGAAATCATCTCTTTTGTCGTAACGTTTTGTTTTTCAACCGACCCTCATAGTCAATTTCTAGGTATAAGTCATAATCAAATGGCAAAATCAAAAGCTCAAACACATCCAACGAATGGATAACAACTGTCATATTCCTGAATTGGTACAGGCATTTTCTTATGTAGAAAATGGTGGATTGAACCTGGTTTTATAGCTAGACAACAGACACAATAGGTAAAATTGTCAAAAATAGGGGTACAGCAGTCAACATTTTGTTATTATCTTAATCACTATAAAAACAAACAAATGTAACGGAGAAGCACACAAAGGCATACATCAAATTTAACATCCTCATTTTGCTTTTTTATAATACGATTTTATTTATCTATTTAAAATCCACCCATAAAGGATGGAAGGTTTTAAGTACTGACGTAAATAAACTATTCACAATATCTTTATCATATATTGGCATTTTGCAACTCCGATTTTATTTCTGATCGAATTTTCATCGGGAAGTTTCCCTTAACAAATTACGGTCTTTGCAAAACAAAATAAATCATTTTGTAAGCGTTTCTCACAGTTACTCGAGTATCAAACACTCGAAAGCTGTAATATCATCACTTTTGTTAAATGCACAATTAATGTGACAAGTAAATATATTCATTTGTCAATAAAGTTTACATAATTTGAAAATTTCTACCAATTCAAGGGCAAAAAAACATGGTTCTTATCTTATTCAAATTTTTATTTCAGCACGGCTAAATGAGATGGAATAATACATTTTATATATATTTAAAAAAAAATTCAAAGAATAAAACATTTTCATATTATGACTTATTATCAACGAACAACATTGTTAATACCACCATTCCATAAAAAAAAATACAAAATACTGAATATTGAGCAACACGAAAAAGAAAAGGAAAAGATACCATACCAGAGAGATATTCAAACTCGTAGGTCGAAAACATACTGCCAATGTAATGCCAAAAAAATCGACAAACGACAAAAATAAACAGTACACAACACACAACATAGAAAACTAAAAGCTGAGCATAACGAATCCAACAAAAATTTGGGGTGACCTCATTTGCTCCAGAAGGGTAACAGTTCTTGCTTCACATGTGGCACCCATCGTGTTGCTAATGTTAGTACAAACCCAGTGATAAGTTGAATTCGGTAGGTCACATTCGAGGAAAGACGAAAAGATTGTCGTTACCACAATTGGAACATAGCTATCATGAAGGATTTATAAGATAATGTCAGAAAGAAACAATCCTGAAATATTGATATTTATAACATAAAAAAACTACAAAGGATACTAAAGCAAAACCAACACGAGTCCCACAAAATATAACACTACAGGTGCACCCATGTGCTCCAGAAGGGCAAGTTTATCCTCTTTCACTTTGACATGGTTGATTGATTGATTGTTTGATTTTTAATGCCACTTTCAGTATTATTGTGCTATTTCGTGGCGGTCAGTTTTTATTGGTGGAGGAAGCCCTGAGAAAACCACCGACATTCGGCACTTTGACATGGAAATCCAGTAATATTTCGCATTTCGTGAACAAGAAAAGGAGAGATTTGTAGCATGAACTCTTACCAACACCACTTACACTCGACAAGGCAAGCGTCTCCTGCTATGCAACGTCACCAGTCATGGTATTGTAGGATATGACAAGGAAATAATTCTCTCCAGAGTTGAGACAAAGACCTGTCTTTTCAGTCATTGAAATGGTGTTGGTTGCAGTTAAAACTTGTGTAATGTTAATTTCAACCGTTTTTTCTCAAATCCAGCTGGAGGATTATTCTGTGTAGGGAGCACACCCATGTTGATAAGGTCCGTATAATGTTAACTAGCAGTTCGTATTGTGTGGTGTGCATTAAGATATGATAATATCATATGCTGGTCAAAGGAGATGTTGCTACTGAGAAATATAAAGTTGTTAATAGGAAAACTGAAACTGTCACATTTTGTCTCATATACTAGGTTGAAGCCGGCCGTAAGTGTCTATTTCAAGATATATAAACATAAAGCAAACCTTCTATTTTCGGTTGTATCATTGTTGTCAAGTTCACTGAGATATATAAGATGTACTTGTTGAAATGTGTTGAAATGATGGGTGCCACATGTGGAGAAGGATCTGCTTACCCTCCCAGAGCACCTGCAATCCCCCCGGCTTAGGTGGAGTTCATGATGCTCTTTTTTTCTGTTGTGCTTTGTGTAATGTTGTTTGTCTTTTCGCCTTTTTTTGCCAGTTTGTGTTTGACTGATTAGTTTGAATATCACTTGGGTAGCTGTTGCATCTCTTTTTTAGAGCGATAAAAATTATAAACATACCTAAAGTTGAAATTAAAAAACTTTGCAAGATGCTAAGCAGTCAAATGATGGTTTCCTTTATATTGGTATTTATGAAGATCATGTTTTGGTGAAGATTTTAAGCTTATCGGAATAATATATAACAACTATTTGTAAACCCGTTATCTTGAACTATGAGGGGTCAATTTATGGTTTCATCATTACGAAGGTCATGTATTTTAGTTGTTATTGTACATAACAAGCTTTTGTTCATCTATTTATATTTTTTACACACGATAGAAAAAATGGTCAAAAAGTCAAAATAATGGTGCTTATTCTGAATGCTAGTCAATTCGTACAAGGAAAATGAGTAAAATCTTATATTGTAAAACATACACAACCAGTGCTAATGAGTAGTAACGTTGCACGTAAGAAAAACATAGTAAATGTGGTATGGCTTCAATTATTATTTACAAGCATTTATGACCCAAGCTTTGACCCAAGCTAAGTACGGCATTATTCTTTTGATGAATGCATAAACAATTATTATGTGCACATCATTGAAATACAATAATCAATTATAATGATAACGATTTCCTTGAAAATAACACTAGTTAGTACTTTATTCATATTTAAAATATTAAATTGTCATGAAATACTAACCTAATATCATTCCCAATATATCTTTCTTCGCAATTAATAAACCATAGAAATTTTTTTAGATAACTATTTATATACATTTTATATAAATACAGCATTAAAAATTAAAATAATAAGGCTATTTAAATGGTCTTGAAAAAGTTGGAACGAACTGACCAAGCAACTTGGAACGAATTTGTTGGTACGAATCGGAGTTGGAACGAATCATCCAGATACCCTTATTCTTAAAAGGGGTGTTCGAATAATTTTAGAAGCAGTTGACTGGTATATTTGACATTTTCAGCATGTTTGCTTAAAGATTTTTTCCATATATTATGGTCTTCAAGATATATGGGAAATTATTTCCATTTACCTTCATGTTTTATTTTCAGCCATTTTAGTTGGTTGACAGAGACAAACTAGAGGGGGAGGATTGGTACCTTAAGTGTGAAGGACAGACTGACATGATGTTGTTATTTACTCCTGACTCTAGTCAAGCAGGGGGAATAAAAAAACACTTTCTAAAAGATAACCTTTGTATTTAAGATTTAACCAAGACATTCTAGACTTGTTTAATTTTCCTACAAGTCCTATCTTCATACCTGTTACACAGTAGACTAATATTCTTTGCCCAGTTTATAGTAAGCTTGGAACCTTGTTATTTAATGAAAAGGGACATGGAATAAGGTATCAGAGAAATGATGTATGAGAAAAGACAACAACCTCAATTTTAAGATGTAGGTAATAAACAAAAGTAGTTAAAGGTTCACTACTTCGAAAATATATTTTTCTTGGTATTGAATGAAATGGACATTAATTGATGCCAAAACAAATAAAATGACTGGCATAAAACTTTGATGTGTATAACTGTATACAGTATAATACATGTTTGTAATTTTAGAAATTACACTACAAAAATAATGTCTTCCCCTGGAAAGAGGTTTAGGATGGATGAAAAATTGAAGAGATAACATTTAATATTAATGTTAGATGAACGTATCAAACATTCGAATATTTTATTACAAAAATAAACAATATGTTGAAATTGTTATGTCACTTTTTGAATTTTGCTTCAGATTCATCAGTCCTAATTTGATCATCAGCTGGTCGCTTATGAGTCTCTTCTTTTTTAGGTGTAAAAGTTTGACCAGTCCTTCTGTCAACTACTTTTTGGAACACAAACAACACAATAGATAGCTGTAATGATAATCATTTATGTAGTTATCACAAAACAAAATATATTTCTGAACACATCAGTATGTCATCATTTCTATTGACACTTTACTGCCCAAATTAAATATGAAAGTAATACAAATCCTGGTTTTATCTTCTGGTAGCATTCAGTCTTTAATGTATATTTATAAAGTGAAACGACTCCTCCATTTATGTTATTAGCAACATTTGGCCTTGATTCAATGTGCATTGCTATATAAATTTCATAAATTTTCCAGCATAAATTACTTTCTTTATATTTTTAATTTTTATCGCGTTTCTCTGACAGAAACAAAATACTACTTTGATTGGTTGATTAATATTTGCCAGAAAATAGATAACCCTGACCACACTGCTTAAACTTCCAGGAATAACCCTGACCATACTGCCTAAACTTCCAGGACAAAACTGAACTAAAGTACCTTTCATATACTTTTGTAGATTCTAAAGGAAAATCTCTATTCAATGTATATTGGTCTGTTATATCTGACTGATAGATACCAAAGAAGTTTATCAATAAAGTAATTATCATTCATCAATTCTCAAATACTATTAATTTACCTCTGCTACCATTTCATACAACAAGTATCAGACAATATATTAAATACAATGTCAGACAACATGTACAACAAATATCAGTCAATATATTAAATACAATGTCATACAACAAGTATCAGACAATATATTAAATACAATGTTGCAACATTTGCTTGTAAGAAAGCACAACCATTAATGAAATGTGAAAAAAAATTAATGATTTAAATTTTAGTAGTGTTTTTCGGCTGAATGATGATAATGAGTTCGTGTTTAATGTCCAGTTGCAAATATTACATGCATATCAGGACAAAACAAGTTAATATAGATATGAACCTTGCTTTTTACTAAAATGAAACACTAAGCTGAAATTAAACAAGAGTGCACACGCTGAAATGTCTCACCTACTATACTGCCCATTGATTTTGTGTTGAAAGTTCTAAATATAAATTTTACTACATGTACAAGTATCACACTAACATTTATGATCTAAGAAAATGAGGTCAAGGTCAGATAAACCAAACCGGAAATACATGTACACCTTTAATACAATTATTTAATACACCGAATATAGATGACCTATTGCTTATAGTATGAAGAAACAGACCAAACCATGGAAATTTTCTATTGACCAATGAACCATGAAAATGAGGTAAAGGTCAAATAAAACCTGCCAGACTGATATGTTTATCGTACATTATTTCCATACACCAAAAACAGTTGACAAGTATTAGAAAAACAGAACAAAACAACAAAAAAAACTTAACATTGAGCAATGAACCATGAAATTGAGGTCAAAGTCATATAAAACCTGCCAGACTGACATGTACATCGTAAAATATTTCCATACACCAAATATAGTTGACCTATTGCATACAGTATTAGAAAAACAGACCAAAACACAAAAACATAACTTTAACCACTGGACCATGAAAATGAGTTCAAGGTCAGATGACACCTGCCAGTTGGACATGTACACCTTACAATCATTACATACACCAAATATAGTTGACATATTGCTCCTAGTACCTGAGAAATTGACTTGACCACAAAAACTTAGCCTTGTTCACTGATCCATGAAATGAAGTCGAGGTCACGTGAAAACTGTCTGACAGGCATAAAGACCTTCCAAGGTACGCACAT